TTATGTTCTTTTAGTTTTTTCATTTTTTAAAAAAATGCTTATTCAGTCTTAATTTTATTTTGGAATATGGCACCAGATTCTGAATTGAGAACCTTTTAAATATAAAAGTTAATTTCTCACATCCTCTGAAATAGCAACAAAATTTTATTGGTATTCACATTGGCTTACCTTCCTACCTGACAGTATAGTGAAAGAACTAAAAAAAATTGAGAGACTTGACTATTTCTCATTTGATGAAGGGTAAATGCTCATTAGTGCAAAGGTGGGATGTGTGTGTGTGTGTGCATAAGAGAGAGAGATTTTGTAAAGTAAGATAGCAAAAATTGAAACACGTGCTTCCTTAATGTTTAAGGCAGCCTTATGTATAATTGCTGAAAAGTAGAAGCAACTCAACTGCCCATCAACTGGTCAATGGATAACAAATTGTGGTATAGCCACATAATGGGATGCTACTCAGTAATAAAGAGAAATAAATTACTGATATGTGCAGCAAATTCAGTAACCCTCAAAAGCATTTTATCAAGTGAAGCCAGACACAAAAGGCTACATACTGTATGATTCTGTTTATAGGACATTCTGGAAATGCAAAACTTTTGAGATAGAAATCACATGAGAGGTTGCCAGCATCTAGGGGAAGAGTGCAGGGCATAGAACAGGGCATGAAGAAATTTGGGGATTCTGTAACTTCTTTGTGGTGATAATTACACGAGTATATGTGTTGGTCAAAACTCATTGAAACCTGTGTATAAGAAAGATCATTTGCTCTCTGTTAATTGTACATTAATAAACTGAACTTTAAAAAATCATGAAGTTTAATGCTCATTTAGTAATCAACCTAATTCTAAAGTAATGTGTTATTTTGAGAAAAAATAACCCAATTCTATGTAAGTTAATTTTTAAAGGAAGACAACATATATGGCAACCATGAAATCATAATAACATGGCAGAAATACTCTCCAGGGATTAGGGGGATTTGCGGCGGGGCAGGGGGGGTGTAAATCCGCAATGAAAGTACATGGGGAGCACTATGGGGGGAAGGGCATGCCTTTAACCCGCACTTGGGTGAGGCAAAAACATAAAGTATAACCATAATGTTTGTACCCTCACAATACCCTAAAATTAAAAAAAAAACAAAACTTGAACAAAATCAAGGTGAATTATAAATGTAAATAAATTTAAACTTATTTTTCTAATTATAGTATTCTCTTTTATTTTCTAATATTACCTTTATGTAATAATGAATAATAGATTTTCATGGATTAGTAATAGATTTTCAAAAATTAGTATTTTACATGCACTGAGATTCTTTTATATGAATATTTTCATAGCTTTCATCAGTGAGTACATTAAAATTAATTTATTAAAGATAAATGTTTTGTTTTGAATTACTTTTTGCTGACATATATCAGACATATTAATCTAAGAATGCACCTGCAATATGGGCTAAATTCTTTCTCTTTAAAGAATTCAGCTTAAGTCTTACTAAAGTAAGCTTCACATATCATTTTAAATCATTCGGCCTAATTGTATTACAGCCTGTTAAATTTCATCTCTTTGTGTCGAGGATTGTGTGGAAACTAAAAAGGAAAAGAGGATCTGTGACCATTTGACTGAGTAATTAGTTAAATATAAAGAGTTGCTTTTCTGAACTCTCGTGTATGATACCTGAATAATGAGGACTACAAAGAAAATGTTTATCAGCCTTACAAACCTGACAAAAACATTTTTAAGGTGAACTTTGAGTAGAGGTTAGAGATATCCAGATAAAATGAAGCTATCATGGTGAGAGTTCGTGATATTTTGAAGAAACATGTTGGGAGTGGAAGCATTGGGAGGAGGAGAGGGGGAATTTTAATACAGTAATTATGATTGTATATGCTTATAAAGCATTGTGGATGTCACAGAAGCTTTGGGCTATAAGATTCATAATTACAATATATTAATAGAAAAGCATTCTTATCAAACAAATCTTAACACTCTAAAAGAAGGTAATGGAGAGGAAGGAATGAAGAAAATTCATGAAGCTGAGAGTATAAATACAATAGAGAGCATTTGTTTGGAATTAAAAAAATAAAGCCAGAAATATTTTATGATAGTTTACTGTAGATTACAGAAGTAGCATAATAGATATGGTAGTCATGGTGCAGCAGCTGTCTGCTTATACAAGCATACAAGAACAGTTGGAATTTTTTTTTTTTTGCTTTGGCAATAATATAATTATTTATTGAAAAAGTAATGAGAGTAATTACTTTTCAGGATTT